AAAACAATCACGAAAAAACCACTCAGACATCTTCCGGTGGCGCGCATGCCACAGATTCTTACTTGACAGACGCAGCTATAGACACTAAAAGATGCATCTGACGACAGCTACATCTCGGCAAATGTTCTTCATCATTTTGGTAACTAGAAGCAGCAATGTACCTTGCGTTTCGCTTTCCTTTTCTCAAGATATTTCTCCCAGGCAGTTGCTTCGTTTTCGTTTCTTTTCTTTTTCATTTCGCCCAAATCGTCATCTATCGGTGTTGCATCCCACGTCACTTCCACAGAAGTTTCCGCTGTTGCTGAAGTTTCTTCCGTGCTGCTCTTCTTCAGTAATGACACAGTTTTCTCACGCTGATCCTCCTCTTCATCAGGAACACGGAGCGAGTAAATGCCTAGAAATCATTTCAATCGGCTTTTAAACAAAAAAAAAGAAAAAACCAACCAGAGTGACTTACACAGCCGTTCTCATAAGATCGCTGTGAAAGTAAAATGTTAAATGGATGCAAAAATCCACATAACAATAGAAGTCAATATCTCCCTCACATGTTGCTTTAAAAATCAAAACCTCCTTCAAATATAACTTATCTGAGAGAGAGATACGCAGTAATGGCCGAGTGAAGAACGATTTCGCCAATAAATAACTATTCTTGATGGATCCCCCTTTTTGCAAACTGTATTTTGCCCCTTAACAAGCATCAGTACTAGCTTTATCATCGAAACGAATCAGAAGCTAAGGAGAACTGGTTTTTCCAATAACCAAATTGAACTACTACATTCAGCCCGAAAGATAACATAAGGCCAAAGAATTGGAACTGTCAAAGAAGAGAATTAGAAAAGGCCAAAAATGTGGTAACATACTGGAACTGGTCGAGATCGGCATCTGGACGGAATGCCTCTCGTTCAGTTTTGATACGTTCCGGATCGGTCTCATCCCATGTTAATTTAGCCGATGATTTCGAGAGCGCTGCACTTTCAAAATTTTTTGGTTTGAATAAATTCAAATTAACATCATCGGCCGTCACTTGCTCCTTCACTGCACTCTCCTACAATACAAAGGTGCACATGATGATAATAACACTGCGGGAAAAACTAATTTTTTCCTGGCAAGGGAATTTTGCCTGTTTCATTTAAGGTGCCAATTATTACCACTGAGAAAGCTGGAAAAATCGGATTCTGCATTGATGTTCGTACAACGTTAAACGAACATTTGGAAGGCTGCCAATGCAGTGAAAGGCATTTGAAGCGCACATATGGAGTTAGATTGACGTGAAATGGGCAAAACGATGGAACACGATAAAAAAGCGACAGATATTACAGATTTTAGAGTAAGTTAACTTGCTTCAAAGTAACGCTCAGAGCGGAAAGTGATGAAGGTCAGAGACGGGTCATATGATGCATGAATTTTAGATTCGGCCGAGAGAATTCTCATATCAATACCTTAGAGCAGTTCCTCATTTTCAGCTCACTTCGGCTGAAACACTTGAAGTTCATCATAATTTTTCTTACCAGTTGTTTAGAGAGTATCATTTTTACGCATTTTGTGGTTTTCTGCTGTTAAATTCTTGTTGCTACGCCATGATGAGCTGCATTTCATTGCTCGGCTGTCCCACTACGTAGCTCTCAGTTTTCATCCTACTTTGCTTTGTTCAATGCTTGTATTTCGATGTTCCCGTTAATGAATCGATGTGAAATTTCAGCGCAACTAGCCGCACCAAGAAAAAAAGGAGATGTTTCCCCTAGAAGCAGCAGCAGCTGATAATTATTATTGGCGCCTGATGCTTTATAAATAGTCACAGATTCCGCTGCTTGCACTAAATAACATGAAAAATGAACACCGGAAAGAGTTCTCAGTTCGATAATCACTGGCCAGAGATTGGACAGAGCGGCGCTCGACCAGACTTATTCCTCAGTGTCACACTCCGATTCAATCGGCATTGTTTTACGTTAGATCCCAACTATCCCGCTCTTATCGCCCTTCTTTCCTACTCCCTCAACAAAAAAACAAGAAAGAAACACACAAATAGACAAACCGGAGAAAGATAAAAAAGAAAGAAATGACGTGAGGAGAAGCCTGAGAGACTTGAACGGGGGAGATCAGAGCCACCAGAACTTCTCCTCCCGTTCCTCTCCGCACTCTTCGCTCTCTCGTCCGCCGGAATATTCCAGAGCTGTGAGGCACAGCTCGCACCTCCCCCCACCCCACCCTTCAGGGCAGATCAAACCCTTCGATACTCCCGTCCCTCGCCTATCCTTCCTTTTTTCTCGATTGTACTTCGCGACACCGCTCCCGTCTTTTTGCTCCGCGTCCG